CAGTCCCTGGAGAAGGTCTTCATGCATGGTAAGAAAAAGTATCAGTGAAAAAGAGGAGGCACCTTAAGGAGGTGGAGTGGCTATAACAATAAGTTAAAATATAGGAATGAGAGTGAGGATGGCACAGGATTGAGCAATGTTTCATTTATTACACATGTTACTGTGAATTGGAAATTATTCTACAGCACCTAATAACAACTATAATGTATCTTAATTGGAAGTCATTTAGAGTTTAGTGGTAGTATTCTTACCTTCTAGGTAAGAAAACAGGGCTTGGTTTCCAGCCAATGCACCTCATGTGGAGCCCCCACCCTTCTGTCAGTGGAAGCTTCATGGGGATGGTGGAGAACTAGCGAGCATTCAGTTCTGTGGTGTGTGGTTTCCATGAGTCAGAGGTGAATCAATGGTTTGTTAGGCTGGGCACTGTGGAAGTTAGAAAGAAATCTATATCAAGAAAATCCCTCATAGTTGTAGAAACAGGCAAGTCTTGCAAGGCCAGGCAAGTTCCAAATCTGTGGGTCAAACATTAAGCTGGAAGCTTGTCCTGATTGAGAGGCTGGCTTAAGGGCCGGGTGAAGCCAAGATCAGCAGAAACACTGAAGGCTGGTTGCTGCAGTGCCATATGAATCCAAGGTCAGCAGTAAGGCCTGTGACTGGAGAGGTGAATGATTCCAAGGTTGGCAGGTCATATAGCAGGTCAGATGGCAGGCCACTGATGGCTCCTAGGGTTGGCAGACAATACAACAGGTCATTGGCTAAAAAAAAAAAAAACCAACCCAAAAAACAACCGCAGGTCAATGAGTCTGATGCAGGATCCAGACCCAACCAAAAGCAAGGAAACTTTACCACAGACTCAAGGCTGTGACCTGAGTATGATGGTTGCATCCCATTATGATATCTTTACAACGGATTGTCTACTCTTAGCAGCTCCCATCATCGAGTTGGTTACATTGTGTTATCATAGGCAGTCACTTACTAGGTTCTCACTGCCAAACCACTGAGAATCCTGGCCCAGCCAAGAAGACACAACTCAACTATCTCAAATAGCAATTAACAACATCAACAACAACAGCATATGTTAATTATGATAAATTATTTTTAATTTACTATAATTGATTGCTTGGTTGTCTTTGTTCAAACTGAGCTGTGAACTTGTTGAGGACAGGGACTCTATAAAAAATGGTTATTAAATAACTATAATGAGCCAACCACAACTCTAGAAGAGAGAGCAATCAGTAAAATAGTCAAAATCCTAGACCTCCTGGATGATATATTTGACAGAGATTTGTTGCATTGTTGAATGCATTGAGCCATCATTTTAAACCACAGATCTAGACTTTTGACTAAATCTGGAGTCTCCTGACCTCACATAGGGTTCCTTTGACCTTAAACATGCTTACATCTGACCTTTTAACTTATACATGACCGCATATAGAGTTCCTTTTAACTTACACTCCTTTGGCCCCCAGCTATCCTTGAATAGCTCAGACTCATTTAAAGCTATTATGAAGGACTTCTGGGAAGATGGCAACTGAGTAACATGTACCAGAAGGACTCCACAGAAGTCAGTGCAGGAGAGTTACTAAGAGGGAAATTCAACACTGCCAGGTGGCAGGAGGAGCATCATAAAAATAAGTAGGCACAGATCCACTAGGTTTTTAGTTTGGGCTTTTGGCTTACCACAGCTAGTGTTTGGCCA